ATTCTGACCACAGGTTACACGAACCCTCCATCTCTCACAGCCCCTACTCATAGACTTTTGACTTTGGACTGATTCAGACTGACTTTTGCCTGTAATATTTTATCATTGCGCAACTTTTCACAGTGGCGATTCTTTAGAGCAAGTATTCCGCCCACACCCTAGTGACGATGATACCACCACGATGTTCGTTGCTGACCGGCCCCTCGCTTCGGATTTCCCCCCCCCTCCCCCCCCCACATGGGGTGGGGGATCCTAAGCCCTCCGTTGGGGAGTCCATGTGTTTTCCTCAAGTTCATTACAGCCGCATCAATCGGAAAACTTTTTGACTTATCGCCTAGTTGGTCAACTATTAGGTTTTTTCAAGTCTTTGACTTGATAGTCCAACCCAGGTCTACAACGTGGTCGTAGATGTTTCGTCCAAAAATGAGCGGGGGTGGCGCAGTAAGAAATGGCCTCGTTGCCCCATGATCCAGGATAGAATCCCACCGCAAATTTTTTTTCTAAATCCTCCAAATCTGATCTAAATCTACATCTTCTAGAAGCACTGACTCGTAATCAGCATTAACTTACATTTCACATCCATTTTCAGAACGGATTGGCAAACATAGTGGAAGTCAGATGCATGGCGAACTGAATCTGACCACATAAAATGAGTCAATTTCCAATTTACGAATATTAAATGAGTTAATTTCCAATTTTTCCACCTTATAAGAGGCGATGTGGTCTAAACAATGACTTGCTAGAGCCAGACGGCATACAAGCCTGGGTTTTTATCCTCCCAAACGAATTGGCACCAAATTTCATTCCCTGTAGGATAGGCGGCTTCACTGGCTTGAACGGGAGCCGATCTGGGATTTGATCGCCAGACCGCGCGCATAGTAAGCATGCCGCTTTGCCACTAAACCACTTTCATGTCAAAACCGCGGTATGCGCGTTTCAAGTTTGAGGTCGAAAACTGCTAGAACTTTTCCCACTATCTAGCGGTACCTATGTTACTTTGTGCCGTGCAATGATGAGCGCCATTTTTTTCTTTACACCCGCGAACTTTAGGGACCACCGGTCCTAGAAGTACTGCGCACAAAAAGCTTGGGAACTTGAAAATTCCCATTCATGGGCTGGATGTATTTTATATTCGCTTTGGATGCTCTAGACTCTAATGACGAGACAAGCCAATCAAAACAAAGGCGCGCTGACAAAAAAAAACTGGCAATTGCGAAGACCACCCAGAACACAAGCCGTAAATTCTAATGTGTCTTCTGCATCACACAAATCTGACATGTACCGTTAATCATTGCGCGTGAGTTTGTTCCTGTTTAAACATGCTCCGCAGTTTTGTCTTTTGTTCCTATAAACTGGTTTGTTTACTTGTTTACTTTGCTTTCCAGCTCGCAACAAATGTCATAGGCACGAGCTCGAAAAACTATGCCAAAACTTCGGACTTCTCACCCGAGTCCGGGTGACCCGTCAACAAGCCGAACTGTTAGGGGAGGAAAGCCGCGCATGAAGAAGATCTCCAATATGAAGCGGAAACTCGGACGTCCCATTGGTATCACTCGTCGAACGGCTACTGTAGGTTTACTGGCAATGATAAAAACTGATGCTCATTTCATTTCGTACTAGTAGCCAGCGTTGCTTTTATAGGGGAATAAATTATCGAAACGGTTCGTTGGAATCCGAATGGCAAGGGCCCAGAAAGGACGAGGACGAGGTAGACTGCGAAAAACTGGCCCATCAACTCACACACCTCTCAATCGTAGCCCTAATGGCAAGCTGTCACCCATCAAAACACGAAGACTTCACAAATCGTGTGTTGAATTTTCAATTTTTATTTAATTTTACATGTGGTATCAAAATGATAGTTTTTTTTCTTCTAGAAAACAGCTCAACGTGTCCAGATGCACTATTTGCAAGTCTTCTGATGGTAATCTCTCGCCTTGCTTCCAGTGCCATAAATTATGTGAGTTTTTATTACTTTTTCGACAAAAATAACGCCTGAGGCTGCAGACGTGAGTTCGAACCGTGCATTTGCGCGCAATGTCACCTTAAATTCTCGACTCGCGTACATACCGTTGTCTTGCGTGCTGCCTGCCGCCCCCCGTTGACGCGCTCGCAAAGTTCAAGTACGTTTTGCCCCCCGACTTGCACCAAAATCTAGAGCGCGTTCAGACTTCGCGATCGCGCGATCGCTGTGATCGCGCGATCCATCGCGCTACTGTGGGTGAAATTACACCGGGAGGGAGTCATGTTCGTTCATGTTCATTATTGTTCCTGTTCTTTTTTTCCTTTTCCTTCTTTCTTCCGCCTTTGTGTACATATCTACCTCGGTTCCCTCGCTCTCCCTATTTTATATGAAACGTTTCGACCCCAATATTTCTGAGCTTAATTTCTATTATTTCCTATGTAAAATAGTACTAAATATACAATATGCTAATTATTATACTGAATTTTGCATCTGAGTACGTTCAAGCGGAGTATTGAACATCTTGTTCCAAAAGTAAGACACGCAGAACTTTCAACAGCGGGTGATGTTGTTTCTCTCCCTTCCCCCGATTTTGCCAGTTCTCCAGATATTCACTTTACTTTTGTCACACTTGTGTTTGCTTTGTTTGTTCTGCCATCCTCCAGGTCTATACACAACCTTTCCTTTCGAACGGCTTCGCAAATCGCATCAACTTGGCGAATTATGAACCGGGCTTGAAAGACATCAAAAGGTCGAACTTACTTTTATATCGTTTTTGGAACTGCCTACTGGGGCAGGATACAGCATCGTGATGTGAGAAATGGTGATATCAGTACGACTCCCTTCCCAGAACTTTGTTGTTGTTGTTTGTTGAGTTGAGTTGAACATGAACGAACATGACCCCCTGGTAATTGTCACCAGGTGCCTACAGTAGCGTGATGGATTCGCGCGATCGGCGAAAGTCTCGAATCGCGCTCTTAGCATTTGAAACATTCCAATCATCAGCGATGCCGTGCTAGTCCAGTCGCTCACAGATCGCGTACCGTCAATGGTTTGAGTCGCGGGGAAGGCGTACACGGACGCTCGCGCACCCTGTACACGGCCTGCGACCTAATCGAGCTCCTGTGGTAATAGTGGTAACGTCGCTAGCGGCTTCCATTTGGCATTCCGGATAAACTTCTTTCGGCAGAACATGATCCAGAGAATGGCGGAGAACCCCGTGCTCCGTCCGGCTCTCTATTCTTAGATTTGGCATTAGTGTATATACCGAGTGGAGGTCTTGGTACGGGGATCAACGGAACGCCTTCCATAACGAGCTGCGAACCTCCCAGGCTCCTTTTTTGGGAAGCTACTCCCAAAAAAGTTGCGGAGCTTTTTAGAGGGAGCATAGTCACACTCCATACGAATTAGCGGTGTGGGGCTCTCCCGCTCGTAGCGGCGTGGCCGAGTGGGTGCGTTGTAGATCTCGCGAACACATGGTTGGTAGTTTGAATCCTTGATGCGTGCGCTCTTTTGCATTTTATGTCAGTGGTCTCTCTGCACTGAAAATAATTTTTGCATAATATTCCGCTTATAATGCCGTGACGTAATGTTTCTGAAGGAATGGAGCCATAGTGGACGATTCAACGGCGAACATTTTTGACCGTTGATTTCATCTTTTGTTTTGATGTGTTTATTTTCACAATAATACTACATTGCAACGCATGAGTTTGCCCTGAAAAATGGCTCGATTCTCCAAACGACTCGACTGGACCCGAAACAACACGAAGTTCTGCGCGAAGAGAGGACACGTGAAAGAGGCTCTCCCACGACGTAGTTTTGACGTGGCGATCTTGCCAGAGATCATGATGGGAAAAACACCCACTTATACCCACATAGTATTGAAAGATGTTCTGCCCTGAAGTAGGTGCTTTCGCACCTGTTGGAAGTTTTCGGTTCGTGTGACACACCTCGAGCACCAACGAGTAAGGAGCAGAAGGTGATCGACAGTTTCGCCTCAGTTCACCGTGAGGCAGAGTATGACGACCTGTTTGTGTGTCGCAAAGGGGACAATACTGTTGAAGACGATGCAGTGGATCCCTTGTGGACGTGTGACGATGATGACGATGAATCTACTCAACCTTCCGGGAGCAAAAAACGTTTTCTGACTCCATTCCTCAGAAACATTACGTCACGGCATTATCAAGCAGAATAGTTATGCAAAAATGTTTTTCAGTGCACAGAGACCACTGTCATAAAAATGCAAAAGAGCGCACGCATCAAGGATCCAAACCCTCGACCATGTTTTCGTCGAACCTACAACGTATCCACTCGGCCACGCCGCTACGCTTGGTAAGGCCTCACGCCGATAATTCGTATTGAGTGTGACTGTGCTCCCCTGAAGAAGCTCCGTAACTTTCTTCTGGGAGGTCCGCAGCAGATATGGAAGACGTAATCCCCGTCCGAAGACCTCTCAGTCGAATAGCCACTTCCACCTACCATCCTTTCCTTGTTGGAGTGCGTTCATACTTTGCCGCTGCGTTTTCTGCGTCTGTCTACGTTTCAAGCGCTTTGAGCGACTAGGAACGGATAGGTATCAATCCAGCGTTTTGAGCGTCCGCCACCGTATTGGAGGTTTTGAGCGTCCACCAGCGTTTCCAGCAATAATCCATACCCATACCTACTTAGTCGCTCAGAACGCTTTCGTAAAGTCTGAACGCACACTTAGGTTGCGTTCGGACATTGCCATGCAAGTGAACTGCAAGTTGGTTGAACTGGTTCACCCACCCGGGAACTCCTCCATTACGGTCAGCAGGCTGAGACCAGAAGCTTCCACTCATTAATAAAAGAAAGCATAGTTGCTTAGAATGTTTGATCGAATGCGCCACCGAAATGCTCCGGAATTAATAAATAATATAAATATATAAATAATAAATAAGTAAATATATAATTGTGAATTATCTTAGCGCTGTTAAATGTTTTTTATCGGGATACGCATCCTTCCCATTTCAGATCATCTATCCAAATGTATATTATATTCTTCAAGCATGGTTTCACGTGCATCTCAAGTGAATTGGCTCTGTCCGAAGGTTGGCGATCATCAGCCTTAGAATCACTAATTTTGGTGGTGTGTAATTACGGACAGTTTTTTCAGTGTATTCGTTGTTCAGCTTGTCAGTTGATGATTGATGATCCGACAAATGTTGAATGCGTAAATTGCCTTCGAGCATGGCATGGAGCATGTAAGCCAGCACATAGCGCAGAAGTGGAGCGACAGTGGTTCTGTAGCCAATGTGTGAAGGGCATTAATCTGCCAAAAGGTTCGAAGAAGTAGGTATCACCTGTAGTGAGTAGTCTCATCAATTACCTCAATTGCTATAACAACCAACTTTCAGGAGTGAAGACCGAAATGTCCGCAGATTATCGAAGAACCTTTCAACGCTTACGTCGCTATCAACTACGAGCGGCACCTTCAGCAGCCCCAACCGAACCGAGCAGCAGTGAAACTCCGCGTAGGAAGCGTGGGAGGCCAAAAGGAAGCACAAAATTGAGCAAAGTCGCAGTGACTGATATTTCTTTGCCTAGTTGCCCTGGGTGCGTCTATTTTCTCAATACTTATATTTTCGATTGTATAATTGCTATATATAATTCTGAGAACGACAGGTTTCTTTTTTGCTTGACCATACCGGTAACATGTACAGTATGTACCATTTTCGCAGTTCAAAAAAAATACATGAGGGAAGCGCAGCTCGCTCGCTACAAAGCCGCCGTCCCGCCCGCTGACCACCGCAACGCCCAAACTTTCCTGAAAGTGCGAGTGTTCCACTACTAACTCTTTTCGTTTTGGATGAGTCAAAGGTGACGGAGAGGAGAGTGCTGAACAAAGAAGTGCGAACTCATCCGATAACGCCCATTCTTTGCCCTGGGCACGTTCACCGCTGCTCGGGTTTGCAGATGCAACGTGCCGGCCGCTTTTTTTTCTTTCTCTTCACTTTTATTTGATTTTAACTTGTCGCTAGTAGTTGCCCCTGATAAATTAGCATTTTTGAACGTGGGCGTGCCTTTAGTGGGCCCCAAATAGCCAATAATCTAATGTGGTCTGCGCAATTTTGATTTTGATGATTTGTATAAGCTAATGTGATTTTTTTAAGACTTCCTATAGAAACTTGCCCAGAGGGAATCAAGCAGGATGGAGACGCTCCCAAGATTGTCTCACCCCCTCATAGAACACGAAATGAGTTCGGTTCAAGTCCTCAGAGAAAGTCACTGCTACCCGATCAACCCGTATTATGCTCTTCCACTGTCGGGGGAATGCTGTGAGTTTCTGCTAGCAGTTTCTAGCCATAATTTTTATTTTACTGTATATTCTTTTCTGTCAGATTTGACGTTGCACTCGCAAAAATGGAAGAAATGGGAGTGGATAAGAAGGCTAATTTACCGAAGGATAAGGAACAATGGGTAAACCTTGGAGGAGAGACTGATATAAAGGTTTGCGAGCTCAGATATTTTATTTATATGATTATCTTCAGCTTCTCGATTAACTCATGCAGTTTCCAGGTTCTTTACGAAAGTCCTTATTCTGATGACATTAAGAGCGTGCCGTTGTTTTTTATATGCGCTTATTGTCTGAAACCGTTCAGCGACCAGAATTCGTACTTTGTTCACCAGGTTACTTTTCCGTCAGATTTGTCTATCATTATGTGCACTCAATCTGAGTTTGCAGGACTGCTGCCCTCGCATAGCTCCACCTGGTCGTGAAATTTATCGTGAAGCTGATTCTAGCCTTTCATTTTTCGAGGTTGATGGCGCTGTGGAACGCGTAAGTTTCATATTTTAGGTGATTTAACAAATATGCTCGCTGGAACGCTAATTCAGCGGTGCGCAAAAACGACAGTAGTACCTCTTCGATATCTGTTGTCGTATTTTCCAAGCATTTACGAGACCAGAGGGCCTGTTCGGTCCATGTTTCAGAATATTAACCTTTGGTAGCCTGAAGTGGGCAAAAGCGGATTAAACTTCCTGGGACAAATGTTTCAAGGAGACAAGACAGTTCCACTGACCTAATGAATCACTCACTCGATAGATGCAGGGCTCCCCTTGATCTCAATGGCTGCGATATGTGGGCAATCATTGAATGAATTACTGTTTCAGGTAGTTTGTCTCGGGTATTGTTGAAAGGGCTGGGCGGACAAATCTCGCCTGCTTTTTGTCCATTTCCAGCTCTGGCTAAGGTGAAGACGCCGGAACGTGCACGGAATAAAGTCCCCTATTCTGGACGCTTAAAAAATATACAGCAGTGATGTTCATCATCCCCTTTCCGAAATAGTGTCGAATATACACTGCCGTTCAATAGCTTCTCTCTCTTTCATTCAGAGAAGTCACTTTCAACAAAACACCGCATCTTATATCGTTGTAATTATTTTCCAGAATATTAGAATATTTCCTCATAAGAAATATTTGCCCCTTAACCGCCTAGCGTTCTCTTGGGACACCCTGTGAATAGTCACGTACTCGTAATGAGGCTGACTTCCGACGTTATTTTGATTAGGAAAAGTTTGCTTAAAAACCAACTTTTGACCCACAGAACGCACGATTACTCTATTGTGATGTGATAATCAGACATTTAGACATACTGTCGCAATTTGTGTCTTCTGGCTATGCTCTTCATCTCTTCTAAAATATCACACAATGAAGTGGCAACGTTCTTATTCTACATACTAACAAAAAATGACGAAAATGGGTGCCGCATAGTTGGATACTTCTCGAAGGTTAGTTCGCGGTTCATGTGTGCGGTGACGGAACATCCGTGATTGCTGGTCTTCAGGAAAAGAATCCGAGCAGAAACAACAACTTGTCGTGCTTACTGACCCTGCCAAGCGAGCAGCGCAATGGATATGGACACTTGCTCATTGATATGAGTTAGTTTTTCTACTGACTTCACTATTAAGACGGTGGTGCCTTTATATTTTTCAAAGTGGGTGTTCCTTGTTGTTTCGAGACTTCAGCTGACAGCCATAAAGGCGCCTTGATCAAATAGAGTAGGTTTACTATGGTGCTCTGGCATCATTGCAGTCTGTTTCTGATTTAGCTTTTCACATCCTATCCGTTTTTGAGCAGAACTGATGTTGTGGCAAGTGGCCAGCTTACCACGCTATTCTGGGTGGAATTTCAGTTACAGCTTCCGCCCAGGCCAGCCAAGCCTTCCCTCCTCCGGAGACGAAGATTGACACTGGGGTGATAAAGAACAATGACTTAAGCATCGACTGGCCCCAGCGCGTCATTGTGTCCCAAGAAGGGATTGATCAACAGCGAATCCTATACCCACTACGCATTAACCATTACCCAAGAAAATTTCAATCGTTTTTGAGAAATGTACTGTAGCCAATGAAACTCTAGACCCTTTCGTGTGCGACCATTCATAGTTTTATTTTTCAGGTTATCAGTTGTCTTGCATTGAAAGGAAGGTCGGTTCTCCTGAACATCCGCTATCAGATCTTGGCCTGTTCACCTATAGAAAATACTGGAAGTCCAGCATATTGTGCTATCTTAGGTACGTTTTTTGTGAATTGGCAAGTGGTTTGGTAAATCGCAGTCAGGTTGATCTTGTCGGAAGTGCATCATCCGTTTGATTCCCGAGGGGGCGGGTGGGGGGATAATGCCCCGTTCCATATTTCGTTGAGAACGTGATGATAGCTAACTAAGGTATGGAGCGCTCGAGTAATGTCTTACAACACAAACCTTTTGTTGCCCTGTTGAGTCATTTTGTAACCCTGTAGGTGTGTTCTTGTTCTTCGAAAAATTCACTATAATCCCTGCAGTAACTTCAGCAAGTTACGAAATCCTATTTTCTCCATTCCTGGTACAATGATTTTATTTGTTTTGAGTTGCTCCTTCAGATCCCGTAAAGATGCTACACTTATATCTATAAAAAGCATGAGCCTTCAAACTCGTATCCATCCAACGGACATTGTGAACGAGCTGATGAGGAATAACCTGTTAATCATGAAGGATAGCAACTACTTCATCAAGACATGGGTAAGTAAAAGATCTGGCGTAGTGAGAGGGTTCCGAGAGAAGGCTCTAGACCGCGAGGACTCTGACTGTCTGCACACCCGAAGTCGCATGCAGTGATGAAGATAAGCAGAGATCAGGGACCCCTCCACACAACCTGTTACTTTCCCATTCTTCTATGCTCTCTCTCTCAGAACCCTAGCGGCTGGTGCCGATCGATAATTTACTGCATATTTGGGTAACGCATGCCCTCCTTCCCCATGCATTTTTAATACATAAGCGGCCGGCGCCGATCGATTGCCGTCTGCGGCGGCGTTCGCGTCTACAGTATTGGAGCGCTGTTGCAGTTGTAACGCGTCGCAGCGGGTCGATGCGCATCATCGCGACGCGACTCTGAACGCTGTACTAGTCTGGAAGGAGAGAACGATCGTTTCCTCAGTGAAAGGAGGGGCGCAGACGATCAGAGTCGCCATGGTAACCCTACAGTCGAATTGTGCCCCCTCCCAAATGGCGTCAGTGCCTTCTTCTTAGGTGAAATGCAGCGGCTATGGTTATTTTATTGATTCGTTATCTCGTTTTATTGATTAGTTATCTTAGAAACTCGCGTTCAAGTTCCCGCTGTCAATGTTGAGGCGACGGGTTGTTGATCCGTCTCGAATCAAGTGGATGCCCGATTTCGATGTTACCACACTTGACCCTTATAAGCTTAATCATTACGCGTAAAGATATAAAATTGTAAATATTTGTTTTGTAACGTGTTCAGCGTCTTGTCTTCTGAGAGCGACGTTTTTATGTCTAGTAGGTTTGTCACAGCATCTCACGTCCAACGTTGTTCTACTATGTATCGATCTTTGATGGTGATCTTTGGCAAAGTTATGTCAA